ACGACAATGATGGAGGCGGCGGTGGACTACAACAGCAGTCAAGCACGACTCAATCCACTCCGGTCACTCCGGTCACCGATCGCCACCGACTGAGTCCCCTGATCATCAGCAATCGCCCAACAATGGCTGGCAGAAATCGAACAAACAGAATGACAGCAAACAACAACATAAGCACACTCGACAGTGATGATGACGATGATGATGACGAGCCGCAGAGACGTATCCGCCACAGCAGCGACTCTGGCAAGGACATTTCCTACAATCGTACAATTCACTAAACAAGTTCTGATGCCAAATCAATCACAATCTCATATGATTCACCTTTATTCAATGAATCAGTCAGTCAGCNTACAATCGTACAATTCACTAAACAAGTTCTGATGCCAAATCAATCACAATCTCATATGATTCACCTTTATTCAATGAATCAGTCAGTCAGCCGTCCCCCACCGCAATCTGCAGATTAATCTCACGTCAGTTATTTATGTCATTTGCCGGGTGTGTTCATCGTGTCACCTACCTTTTCTTGTCTTCCAAGCTTTCACCCTTTTGTTCATCTCAAATATCTTTGATTTACTTTGCCATCAATAAACCACTTCACTTCAAATTGGTCTGCTTGAGTATGCGAATGGTGGTGTCCAGGTCTCGAGTGGTAGGAGTGTCAGTGATCCTCTGCTGTTGATGTCCGCCAGCGCTCTTCAGCAGCTTCTCCTCTTCCACTTCCTTGAGCTTGAAAAGCAGACGAAGTGTTTGCGAGGCGGACACTGTGCAGTCGGGATCCACGTCGTGGAGGGCGATTTCTGGGCAGGATTGAACAACAAACAATAGTGTTAGGTTTTTTAATCAACAACAACCAAAACATTATTGTTTACCTTTCAACCAGTTCTGCCATTCGGTCAGCAGCACCTTCCCCAGTCCTCCGTCCTCAAAAAGGTAAAATGCGGGCGTACTGCGCAGCACCGCCTCCAGCGCCATGATCACCGCTCGGCGGACATTTCTAAGCATGGGAGAAATAAAGAACTTGATCAGTAAACAATTTCAGCAAACCAAATCCACTCACCTCAACTCCGTCCCTCTGTAGACGGCCATGAATGCGAGCAGCTCCTTGGCCATCAGCATCTCCACCGGGTAGTTGGCCGCACTCTGCACCATCAGCCCCAGTGTGTACAGCAGCTGTTCCAGGAGAAAGGAGTCATCCTCCGCCAGTCGAAGGCCCATCTCCTCCTTCAGCTTTTGGCCATCTCCTCGGTGCAGCAGCGGAAAGAAGAAGTGTCCCGCGACGGGAACAAAGGCGTTGGTGGAGGCAGCAGAGGCGGCGGTGCTGGAATCAGCCAAAATCCTCAGTGATGCCGGCGCTATGAGACGAGTGTTGACTTTGATGCGCTCCGCCACCACCTGCCTCCAGTTTTCATTCTTGTCCCCTCCTTCATCATCATCCGAGTCTTCACCGTTCTCCAGATACATTCGCACAAACTTTGCCTTGGAAGCTGCGGCTGAATCATCCTCACCGTCTTTTAGCAAAGCTCGGCTCTTCTTCTTCTTATCCGTCTCCTCAACTGGCGACTTTATTTGCCTCCCTTTGAAAGAGGAAGTGAGCTCCACGGTGGCGGCCGCCAGCACCGCCAGCACGTCCATTCGCTGGCTGAGGCTGCGATTGGTGGAGTAGAACTGCTCGGCGAGGTAGCTGGCCGCAATCTTCGGTGCGCCCACGGCCAACGCGGCCAGCGCCTGAGAGCGCAGCTCGGCAAAGTTGGGAATGGCGCAGTGGTTGTCCAGGTGAAAGAGCAGTCGGGTGAGGGCGTGCGCGCTGCCGTGCAGACGGCCGTACTGCAGCGGAGAGGGCTGCTCTTTGTCAAAGTTGGCCCTGATGATCTTCTCCGCCGACTGGAGACACCGCTCCGCCCAGAGCGGCTTCTCCGTCTGCGCCAGGCCCTCCACCAGGTCCTGCAGGTAGACGGGTGGCTGGCGAGAGCGGTCAGGCAGGAGCAGGGACTGCAGTTCGGCGGCGCTCACCACCGGCTGCCGAGTGGGCTCAATGTCTTTGCCTACGAAGCGAATGTCCGCCTCCACGGCAATGTCATTCGAGAGGTCGTACGGTTGAAGGTCGTCGTCATTCTCCGAATCGTCATCGTCGCTGTCTAGCTCAACTTTGGATGGCTTTGCTTGCTGAGCTGTCGTTGTTGTTGTCGCTTTTTTCTTCTGCTCAGGTGGAATCTTTTTTGTTTTTATGCCTTCTCCTTCTTTACTGGTTTTCGGAACCTCAGCCGCAATCACCTTCTTCTCAAAGATGCTCTCCACCGACACCGCTCCCAACGCCTTCAAGTACACCGACTCATCATTGCTGATAGGCCGTTTGGAGGTCTCAAAGTCGGGCGCCACAATGTTCAGCTTGTTGAAGCGGGCAATGGCGTTCATGACGATGGTGGCGGCGGCAAAGCCGACAGCGCGAAACTCCGTCTGATTGCTCTTCAGGTGCAGCTCGATGCTGGTCATTGTGGACCGTTGCAGGTGCTGGAAGAGCTCCTGGTGGTCATTGATAACCGGCACTGAAAACTCAAGGAGAACCTTGGTGGCGATGACCAGCGCTCGCGCGAGGAAGCAGTGCTGAAAATATGGACGAGATTTGAAGGCGCTGCCATTGCTCCAGGTGTCCAGCAGATTAGTAACCGCCTCAACCATCCAGTCTGGCTGGCAGACGCTCAGGTACGTGAAGATGTTCCAGAGAAACTGGTCAGGGTGGTACTGTGCCGAGCTGGCGTACTCCACCGGACTTTGGTAGTGAATGAGGAGGAACTTGTTCGTCAGCAAAAAGTGCACCTTGGTAAGCAGGTGACCGCCCTTTCCGCTTACCATCTGCAGATAGTCGGGCTTGAAGAGACTGACCACCACCTGATGGCAGGGCGCATTGAAGAAGGCCATCTTCAGCAGGCCCTCGATGAACATTGAGGTGGTGGTGGTGGAGGAGCTCAAAGCACTGCTGGCACTGTTGCTGTTCATCTCCGGCAGCAGCACTCTTCGAGTGATTTGCAGCCACTTTAGGTCGTCCAGCAGCAAAGGCGTCAAGCTGGCAAAGAGACACTCCCAAATCAAAGCACTATGTCCCTTCAGACAGAGTCGACCGATGAGAAGGTTGAGAAGGGACAGGCCGGTGAGAGTGGACAGACTGGCGTGAACTTGCTGCAGAACACCTTTTAAAACTGACAACAGCCGGCGGAGGTACGAGTTGACTGAGAGTTCTGGTGGACAGCGATCGCCAAGACGATTTAACGCCAGTTCGGGCAGGCCAACGAGAATGCTGATCAGCTTTGTCTGGAGAGCTTTGTTTTGGTTGATCGAGCGAACTTCGGCAGAGCTCTTCTGGCTGTTGTCCACATCGACTGTGCTGAAGAGTAGAGCCTGCAGGAGAGTTTCACCATCATCGCTGTAGATAGTGTGGACCAGGACTTCTACTAGACGATCTCGTCGGGCGCTTTCCTCTACCTCATCGAACAGACACTCCTCGACGAGGACAATAAAGCGGTCGATGGTGGTGAGGCCGTCGCCGGCGAAGAAAGTCCGCGCAAAAGCTTTCGAATCGACGGTGTCATTGTCTGCTGTTGCTGCTGCCTTGAAGGCGGCAATCTCCTCTCGAATGGACTCGGTTCTTTCGAAACTGGTGGCAGTGGACATTGGAGAAAAGATCAAGAGAAGATCGAGAAAAAGAACATCAACAAAGCGGCGTGCGTTTTGTGACAACAAAAAAGAAGCGGCGTATTCAGAAAAGTAGTGAACGCCACTGTTTGTCAAATGTTTTTTGAAATGAAAAATCTCTCGATTCATACTGATGCCAATAATTTTTACAAATCAAAGTACGTGACCAGCAGTCGATCAGTGTTGGCAATCACTTTTGCGCTTTCGAGCTCCCTCAGCTCGTGACTGAAGCAAAGATGGAGGTTGTCGGCGTTTCGAGAGCAACAGCGAACGACGGCTTCCGAAGAAGTGGTAGAGCCTTGCTCAAGTAACTCCTGCTTGGTAAGCACCAGCTTCGCCGCCTTGGGCTCATTGTTCCGATTGACCAGTGAGAATTGGGCGGCAATCCAGTCGACACACCGACCCACAGTCCACTCGCGACAGAGAAAGATGGGCCGCTCCTTGACCACCGACTGCTTGTCTTCCTGACCAAAGGAGAGCGGCTCGTTAGGAACAAATGAGACGCTGAAGTAGATGCGCTCCTCCTCGGGAATGGACGCCTGACCGGCAGCCGTCGACTTGAGTTTCATGGCGGCAACTCGCTGAGCGAGAGCGTCATTCTTTTTGCCGCGGTTCTTCACCGTAACACCGGCGCCACTGCTCTGAAGCTTCTGCAGAATGCCCTCCACGGCAGTTTTCCTCTGCTGGAGGGCCGCCTGGGCGAGCACCTCATCCGGGGAGGCTTTCCCCAGCGACTCACAGTCGTGGTCAGCCTTGTGGCGGTGGGTGAGACAGAAGCGGCCACGACAGTGAAGGCAGGTGATCGACTCGAGAATGGACACCGTCGTCGAGCAAAAGGCACATTTGGCGTAGTCGGCCGGGTTCGGCGTGCCTCGCTTCTTTAGATCAACCTTTTGTAGCTCGATGCTAGGTGTACACTTGTGGGCGATGGCAGTGGCATGGTCTTTACTGAAAACGGAAAACATTAGTTACTTCAGTTGATGTTTCCAAAGATGCTCGGGTTTACCAGAAGATGCTGTTGCAGTGAAAGCAGGTAATGGGAAGGTAATCTGGGGAATAATTTCTCTTAATTTGATCTCTAAGCTTTCACTGTACTCACCAAGCAGATTACAGACGGCACAGTGCTTTCCAAGATCCGGTATTTCGGCCATCAGGTAACGTTAAAAACAGCCGCCGATGAATAATCAGAAAAAAGGTAAACAATCAGTCGGACTGATGCGGTAACCACACAATCGATAGTCATTTGAGAAAAATGGAATTTTTATTTTCTTTTAAAAATTGTAAAAAACAATGATCATGCAAATTGAATTCAGACTTCTGTTGCTGAAAAGATGACAATGAATAGATGACGACAATTAGGCTTTCAAATTATAATACACAGGTTTATTTGTCTAGGTGGAAGAATGCTGCTGCAGCTGCTGCGTTAGAAGCAAGCCGAAACGCTTCTTGATGATGATTCGCTCACGGGCGTACTTGTCTTCGGGTGAAAAGCGTGCTACAGAAAAAAGAACAATTAGTAAAAATGTTTTTCACTCAACAAGCAGCAGTTTTTCAAACCTGGATGCGCCGAGATCGTTGGCCGCCCGAACGGATCCACCTTCGCCAGAGTGTACACTCGCTTGGCGGTGGGCGAGTTGTCCTCAAGGTAGTACATCAGGTACATTCTGCTGTCAGTGGTGGGATGGACGAGAGGGAAAACAAAAGCGAAACGACTCAAGATTCAGCTTTTGGAATCGGATTTGGAATCGGATTTGGAATCGGATTTGGATGTTGATTTCTCGCGCAAGAAAAAAATGTTTTTCTCAAGCGGCACGTGCGTCTCACGCCACCCTTCACAGAGTACGTGCTCATTGCATTTGAAAACCAAAGAAAAAGTATTAGCCCGACTGAACTTTGTACAGAATTTTATTAACATTTGCTTTGCATTAAAATATACGTAAGTAAAAGAATCATAAACAAAACAAAAACAGAGATTGCCTAGAAAAGTTGAGATTGCCTATGTGTGTGTCCCACACGCCGAGTGTGTCCAGCGAATATAAAAAAGGTAATGTCTGGTGCTTAAAAAACGCTTTTTTGTTCAATCAAAATCCATCTGCCTGACGTACTTAAAGTTGTTCTTGATGATGGCAAAGCCGATGGCAATGGCAAAAGAGAGCAGACTGGCGAGCAGGTGAAAGAGCGCCGCAATCTTCAGGTCGTACTTGAGCGTGACCACCTCAAAGAGGCCGCCCACCGTACTGCTGTCCACACTCTCATCAATGTCGGGCGTGATCTGCGCAAAGTAGCAGCTGGGCAGGGCGAGGAAGTAGACGCCAATGAGAAAGTTGCCGGCGGAGACGAGCACCAGACCGAGGAAGGCCACCGCGACAAAGGTCAGCCGGAGGAGGCTGATGGCGGTGCGGGTCATGGCGTTGACGGTGGCCAGCACCACGGAGACGGCGCCGCTGCTGAGGGCGACAAAGACGCTGGCGGTGAGCTGGACGTAGCGGGCCTCCCAGCAGTGGGGCGACTGCACGAAGAGCCACTCGTAGAAGGGCACAAAGGCGACGGTGGCCGTCAGCAGCGCCCAGAGGACGTAGTAGGTGACGGGCAGGCGGATGGACTCACGACGACGCTCGCGGCTCATTGCCAGCAGGCGGGCGGGGGAGCAGGAGCCACTTCCACTTCCACTACCTCCTCCACCTCCATAGGGAGATCCGGCGCTGCGAGGCTTCAGCGAGGTCGACTCTTCGGCGCTAGGGTCCATGGTTGGCTGATTAGTTAGTTTGGTACACTGTCTGGTCCGATATGGTAAAAGAGAAAGGAAGGTAGAAGAAGTTGCTGATGATGATTCGATCTAACAGGGAAGATTATCTCTTCTGAAGTGATTTGGCGTGTGATGAGCTGCTGCTGCAGCTTTGGTTGCTCCACTATACGCCACTGTCTCTGCCTGCAAACTGCAAACACCACCAGCAACCGCACTTTGCGCCACCCACGCCCACGTTTTCCCTATTGCCTCTTCTTCTTTTTCTTTCTTCCGCTCAGTTCTACTACTTTTACCGTCGTGATGATTCCCACGTCAACGTCGTCGTCGTCGTTTTCCTCGTCGTCAACAGAAAAGGCATTCTCACGACGACCATTTGAGATGTTTAGTTCATACTGCCTGAATGTCTGTTTGTGTCGGTGTGTGTGTGTATACAGCAAAGAGAAGTCAACTGTGACTGAGTTGCAGTCTCCGGGATAGACTCCTGCTGACGCTGCTTCTGCTGCTGATGAGTGATGCCTGGTGACACCGAGAGGTAGGAAAAAAGGAAGAAGAAGAGAGATCCTTGCTGCTGTTGCTGTTGTTGATGGTAGTCAATGATATGACAGATGGTGGTGATGGTGGTAATGGCGGGAGAGAGGATCACAAACAGCACCGGTGTCGAATTGATCTACTCTGTGAGCGAGAGAGTGCCACAAGTGTGCCAGGCAGTAGAGACAAAATAACTTTCCCTCTGCAGATGGTGGGGCTGGTTGGTGGTTCAGTTCGGGTGCATTTGCTGTTTGGTAGTTGCCGTTTTCTGCTTTCTGTTCTGGTGTCGATGAGCTCTCTGCAGGGAAAGATAAAAAGAGATCTGTGTTAGTGTTTGGGTGACAGTGTACGAGGATGAAAGCGCTGCAGAAGAGTGTCCGCTGCTGCTGCTGCTGGTGGTGGTCTAGCCGATGCGTCGCACAAACACACACACACAGAGCATTGAAAAAGGAAGCACCATTTTAATGAAGCTAAATTGGAACTCAGGGAGAAGGACATCAAAATGAGTGTCGGTCGATAGAGCTGTGTGTGTGCTGGGCTGTCCTGCTCAAAAGAGGGGAGAAGGGTGCCAGTGTACCGTATGTTCTCATTTTCATCACCAGCACTCACACTCAACACACACAGACTGACAGGATTAAAACGTCGACGACAGCAGAGGCTCGAGAGCGAGAGAACAGAGGCGAGAATTAAGCGGAATTAATTGCACCCAGTTCAGGGTGAAAACAACGTCGGGGCTGCTGCTGCTGCCTCTGCCAGTGGTGCTGCAATTAATTAGTGCCTTGCCGTGTTGTCCCAGCTCTGTACAGTAGGCAAACAGAATGTCTGTCTGCTTTGTGTTTGCCTACCTTCCAGGTTTTCTTTTTCTCTCTATTACAGCAGACATCATAAAGCGAGGGCGAAAACCTATCGATTGCTGGCTCTTGATTGACTCATTTCCACTTGGCATAATAGAGTATAGCAGACACCATCTCCTCCTCCTCCTCCTTCTTCATTACAGCAAGAACAAACCCCTATTGAATAAATAAATAATAGACAACAACGGGAACACAAGAGAAACACTAGAGCTAGCTAAAAAAGAAAAGATTGAAGGTAAATTGTGTCTAAATTAGCCAAAGGTCAGTGGCATTAGTGGCAGTCGTACAACAGAATCCTAAATTGGCCAAGTGCCTCAAATGATGCAGCAGCAGTAACAGAAGCAGTAAAAGTAGCAGTAAGACGAAGCCCGAACCGTGCAATGAATAATTGATCACGTCAGTGTCGCAGCTAATTGCACACACACCTCTCTCTTTCCACGCACACAGCACTCGTTCTCCTTCTCATTAGGCGCATTTGGAAAAATACTCTAGCAGAAACATATTCTCTGCTGTTTTCAGTTCAAGCACACAGTGAAAAGCAGCAACAGCAAATCCTCTGAATGCAAATTCAATTGCAATCACTGATTTTCCAGTGAGGCACTGAACACCCGAGGCGCAGAAGAGGCCGCTGCTGCGAAAGGGCTTTCGCTTCACCGGTTTTTACAGAGAGCACTTTGAGCGAATTAGCGCGAGTTGGATTCACTGCAGCAGAATCAGCAGCGGCAGCAGCAGCACTCAATCAGGGCTCGTAAATCAACGCTCTCTAATTGATGACAAACACTCATACACACACAAAGGCACAAATAAGCAGAACGGGTGCAGAAGGAACCGAAAGTGAGTTGTGGCAGTACTCAACACTACTCGTCAAGTGTTTGTTTGTTTGTTTGTTTGAGCAGGCACGCCGCCAGCGAGCAGTTAGGCGGCAGTCAAAAGCAGTGGCCAAAGAGTGTATTGCCAGCAGAGTATTTCCACCAATAAATGGTGCCCAATCGCTTAATCGACATTGGCCCCCACACACACACACTGAACACTGTGAATTGCCGCAGCACCGGCCATCCATCAACTGAGCATTCAATCACCGGCGAAACGAGGCAGCGGCAGTGAATGGACAAAAGTAAAGGGCCAATGGAGGCACTCAAAAATCGTCAATTTTACCCAATTCAAAATGAGTCCATTCGCCGCCGCCTGCTGACGTTGAATATAATGCGAGTTGCTGCTATTTTCGGGTGCTATTTTCGGTACTACTACCGCCGGCGCCGCTTCTGCATTCACACACACCACCAGCATCTCCGGTGCACAAAGCTTTCCGTCCGACGGTCGCCGAAAGCGATCGAGAGCTTCTCTCTCCCTACTTCACACCATCGGCAACTATTATTCAAATACTGCAGCACAGTACTACTTTGCGCCGGCCGATTCCTATTGATTGGACCGCTTATCAAAGTGATTGCTAAACGGACTGTGAGAGAGAGAGAGAGGTGAAGATTGAACTGAACTGTCCTCAAGAATAGACACGCTACAAAAAAGAAAGAAAGAATAAAAAGAAGAATTTAAATATTTGAAAATTGACAGACAGATGTGTGTTCGAGTATGTGCACAGTTGTTTAAGCCTAAAGACTGTCTTTTTTTCTCGCTCTTTTCGCAAACGTACTAGGTCGTCCAGCAGCAGCAGCAGCAAGAGCTGTCACATGGACAAACGCAAATAGAAGAAGAACTGTGGATGATCAGCAGCGTTCGTTTGCCGGCTAGCAAAACTAGGAAGAGCTAGCTACTTTCAACTACAATTTCATTAGACTTGCACGATCATGGGTGCAAGAGAAAATTCAATTTACACACAAACAGAAAGACTCTTTCTCAGTCACAGTCTCAGTCAGCCTTTGTCGCTTTTTATTCACTCTGTGTGTGGCACTGTACAGGCAAGCTGTGAGGCAACTCAACTCAAGCAGCAGCAGTCGCGTTAAGCGGCTAACAGAAAAAAAGAAATGAAAGAATGAAAAAAGCACTCGTAAGCAGATGTAGTAAAAGAAGAGGAAGAAGTAGTGCAAGAAGTAGCAGTGAAATAAAAAAGGAAACAAAAACGTAAATTAACAGCAGTGAGGCAAGTTAATTAAAGCTAATTAACAGGACACTTACTTAGGGTGCTAGAGGCGGCAGGAGAAGGCAACCACTGCGCCACTGATTCCCCAATGAACGAGTGCTTTTTTTGTACAGCTGCCACTGCTGGTGCTAATGAAAGCTAACCAAGTGTGTGTGATGTGTGCAAGCCAGGAGGCATGCAAAAAGAAAAGCAAAGAAGGAACAAAGTGGATACATGCAAATCAGTGACAAAACGGTAAGCGTCAATTAGCGCAAGAAGCTGCTCTAAAAAATAGAAAAGCGCAAAGAGAAATCATGAAATCACAAATCGATCTGCCTGTCTGGTCAACCTACTGCTGCTTCTTTTTTGTTCTATTTCCCAGCGGACAGAAGAAGTGCATGACAGGTGGCAAAACGTCTGCGAGAAACGCAAAAGCTACTTTCCATATTCTGCCTTCCATT